GGCCCTGCTCTTCGCCTTGGTTTTGGCCCTGCTCTTCGCCTTGGTTTTGGCCCTGCTCTTCGCCTTGGTCTGGGCCCTGGTCTTCGCCTTGGTTTTGGCCCTGGTCTTCGCCTTGGTTTTGGCCCTGGTCTTCGCCTTGGCTCGGGCCCTGGCTCGGGCCTGGCGCTGGTCCTTGGCTCGGGCCTGGCACTGGTCCTTGGCTCGGGCCTGGCACTGGTTCTTGGCTCGGGCCTGGTGTTGGTTGTTGGCTCGGGCCTGGCATTGGTTCGTAGCTTGGGCTTGGCATTGGTTCGTGGCTCGGGCCTGGCATTGGTTCTTCGTCATGGTCTTGGTCTTGATCTTCATCTTGGACATGGACTTGGACTTGGTTTGGGTTTTGGTTGCGGGCCAAGAACATCAGGACCCGCTGGATGCCATTCAAGCGGTTCTTCAGGGACTTCATGGATAAGAAAGGGAGCTGAGCCCTACTTTCAAGCGGAAGGACTGCCAGGATCCACCAGCACCAGGAAGGGCCATTGGGGTTGACCTGGAGTAGAAACACAGAGGAGGACTGGTCATTTTCAGTACCACCATGATGCTGGGAGGTTTCCTAAACCCAAAGCACAAGGACCTACCTTGGTTTGCTTCTTCAGCGCCAACTTCTCTGTCCTGTCCCTAGGCTACTCTCAGACTTTTTTTTCTTTTGGTCTATTCCACTGGGCCCCCACTGGCTTCTACACCCACCCACTACTGCCACTAACCTTCCAGACGCTAGCTATTGCTCTGAATAAAAGTTCATGTCTCTTGGCCATCCCCTTCAGGTCCGGATTTGTATCAACTGCCACACGCGGCTGCCTGGTAGCTCGGGGCTGGTGCTACCCAAGCGATAGTGACAATTACTAAGAGTGTCACCGAGCCCGTCGGAGTCCCTGGGGCATCTGTGTGCTTTTCTTGGAAAACTGCTCTTACTACTGCTGTTTCCCTTCTGCCAGCTCCGAGGGATGACAGGGCTGAGAGACAGTAGCTCAGGCTGGGCACAGGGGCGCTGGGAGACTTCCCTCACCAGGGAGATGCTTCTGTATTAGGGAACCTGAATCATAGGCAAAGGGAGAAGGGTCACCCTTTCCCTCCCACTCTGGGAATAGACACTATCACCTTAGCATATGCTAGGGATAGGAGGTGAAAGTTTTAGAACCCAGAAGGGGACAGGACTGGAAGGGCCCTCAGGACAGAGAATGTACCAAGTCTGAGCTGCAGGGGACCTTGAGACATAGAACATGGCGGCAGTAGAAGCTATGGCCATGAGTTAAGTATGAAGTCTCTCCTGAGCTCCACTTCTACATAAAAGCCTGCATGCTAGACATACCCACCTGGACAGTTTCAGTTCTGTCTCCTCATCTCATGCCTGGCCTTTTCTCCTTGCCTGTTTGCCTGGCCTGCCCAAAGTTTTTCTAGTCAAGTATCCTATCTCCCAGCCCAACTAGGAGTTCTCATTGCTCTGACTCATACTGTGGATGTCAGCCTCACCTTTGCTTTGGGAGAGATGAGACCCTAGGGCCAAAAGGACTGCCTATGTTGCCCCACCCCCTCCTCCAACTTTGGTTTCGGCTCCTACTTGCACGGCCAGATAGCAGCAAAAGCACAAGCAGTTAACAAATGCCACTCGATTTTCCTGTGATCCCCTTGTCTGCTAATGACCACACTCATTCAGTCACCAACCCCAAGGACCCTCTGTGGGCAAGGGCTCTTCTGTTATACCTGTGGATCCAGATCTTTTGGTGGCATGGGACCAAAGTGGCCCAGAATGCGGCTCCGGAGCGCTTGTTTGAGCGAATCAAACCAGGCAAGTGATTGATCATATACGGAGCTGTGCAGGTTCAGCAATCTGATATACTCTTCCCCTTCAACCTGGAATTAGCCAGAGAAGTCACATGAGCAGAGGGCTGCTGGCCACTCCCCAGGCATTCGGTCCCTCTATCAAAGACCCTTCAGCCAGACATGCTTGAGTCCATCTGGCCAGCATGACTGAACCATTCAGATGGATGATGGCCCATTTGGAGAGAGGTCTGGGCACCCTGCTTCTGTCTGTGTACTTGTGCATCAACTTACATGTCCAGATGTAGGCAATTACACAGTAGGGGGAGGGGAAGAGGCCAGCAGCTGTTGAAACTAGTTTTCACAGCAAAACATCTGCATCATCAAAGATGTTAAAAGGGGACTGAATTCCTACCCCTCCCCCCACCCATTCATTCCTTATGGATCCTCTCTTAGCACCAGGAAGGGCATGTGAGAAGGTCCCATTCTAACTCAGCATACCAAAGCTACACTTCATTCATTCCACAGATATGTGAATGCCTGTTACATGCATGAAGAGAAATGACTACTGTCATGGTCACCTCTTTTTCTCACCACAAGCAAAGTCAAAAATGCACTAACTGTGCTTGCCACCTATCCCACTGTGAAACGGGACAGTGCATTCATGGGAAGATGGGGATTTGGGGACGATCTGTCTCCCAGGTCAAGTTAAAGGATGTGCTCTTCCTGAGGCCTGTAGTTGCTCAGCTACTGAGCTGGGGGTGGGGTGGGGCCAACACTTTGCTCTAGCTTTCTGGCTTCTCTTAAGGTACCACCAGCAACCTAAAGGGAAACCCCAGCAAAATGCTCATGACACCAGGTTGGCATTCCAAGTTCCTGGAATCTGCTGGCTTCCTGATTCTCAGCCCCTGGAGCAAACCCACCTTCTGATCCTCAACATATTCGATGTCGGCTGTGTTGTAGCCATCCCTCTGGCTCTGCCGTAGCACCTTAAACCTCCTCTTACCAATGCTGTCCACCACGGAGCGACCATCAGGAAAGAATTCAACATTTCTTATCTCCAGCAAGCAACCATATTCTGCAAACCTATATATTGGGGTAGAAGTAAGCAAAACAATCATTTTTGTCACTGGCTTTGTTTCCCCAGGCCTAAAGCTTAGCCACCTTAATGATTCTAGAATATGATTTGGCCAACCCCAGAGCCTGAGTCCTTGGGGGTCCCCACCAGGAAAAGCCAAGAGTCTGTGTCAGGCATGGCCCCTTGGACCAGAGTCTTTACTCCTTGTGCCCTTTTTCTTCTCGAGGACACTGGCTCAGTTGAGAGTCCTCAGAGGCTTATCTACAAAGGAAGGGTATCCCAGAGCCCATGACCCTATCTACCTCCCCCTCTGCTCTCTGGGGCTAAACAGATGTTCAGGGATTTCAGTAAATGAACTAAAGCAGGCCTGAGGAACAATATGTACTGAAGAAACACAAAACAAAAAACCATTCCCCCTATGTCATCTAATCAAGGCAGCTGTGAGAGCAGGAAAGATGCAGTGATGGTCACAGATACTCTGCTTTGAGACAACAAGGATCATCAATCACACTGGGGCAAATGAGCACAGCTGTCCTTGCAAAGAATTATGGAATAAGTATCCCTTTATACAACAAGGACATCAGGTCCCCACCGTTCTGGGGACTGAAGGGAAATTCAGAATGTCCCAGGGCAGCTCTGCCCTTCAACCTAGGAACCCCCTCAGGGGCCCCAACCACTACTCTGCTGCCAGCGGAGACTTAAGGCATAGAAGGCAGAAGCTGGAAAGGAAGGAGTGGGAAAGAGAAAAAGAGGAAAGTAAGAGAAATGAGAAATATCTCTGCTGGAGCAGAAAGGAAGAGAGTTGAATTTGGAGTCCGAAGTCCTGGGTTCCAATCTTGGCTCAGCTGCTCTGTGGCCTTGGATAAGTAGCCTGGCTGCCACTGCCTCAAGTATACTCTCTTATAGTAAGACCAGTCTCTTCTTCCTATTTCCCGCTACCGTGCTCATCCCTACTTCTATTCTGCTTGCCTGGTGTGCCCTCTTTCCTCTTTCCCGCTTAGTAAAATAGTATGTGATAGAAAGTAGAAAGCTACTAGTGAATAGCAAGGGATTCATGGGCCATATTCCTGTAGGGTTCGGGGGGGAGGGTCTAGGAGTCTCTGTACCTTCCCCAAGACAAGCTCAAGGTAGTCCCACAGGTTACCAGAGCAACTCACATCCTAGTGTTGCCTAGGGTTCAGAAAAAAAGGTCATGTTGCCTATGTTCCACTCTCTCTCTTTCTCTCTGGGGCCTAAGTTTTCCCATCTGTAAAATGTGGGGGTTGGGCTAGATATGCTGTGACAGTCTGTCTATGTTGTGCGAGTTTCTCCCCACCTCCCACGCCACACCCTAGTTGAGCCAGGCCCCATCCCTTCACACACTCACCCTCTGGCGGAGTCGCCAATGCACATGCCGAAATGCCTGCTGCCGGTCTCCATGCATCTTCGAATCATAAGGCGGTAGCAAGGCTCGAAGATGTGTAGGGGGCATGGCACAGTGGGGTAGGCCATGGTGCACACAAATATAGGCACATTCTTACTCAGGCTGCTGCAGAAGGGAAATATAATTTTGACAGCAGGGTTTCTCCCTCATGTCCCCACCAGAGAGGGGCCATCTTTGAGCACCTTTAACACTGTGGGGGAATGTCTTGGCCTGCCTCTGATTTTGCTGTCTTGCCAAACAAGGGCCTTCTGATGCTCTGCTTTCAGCTTGGGGAGGAGCTGCTGTGTCCAAAAGGAGAAAAGACGGCCCCCAGCTTGCCCAAGGAATAGAGGCCTTCTCAGCCACCATCACTCCTGGACCCACCTGTGGCCCTCTCCCTTGACCTCCCACCTGCTGGCTCTGCCTCCAAGGAACCATCAGGGCAAAAAGGGGTAGGGGGAAAGCAGGCAAACTACCAAGCCCCACCCCATCCCAAGCCCAAACTGGGGAGGGGGGTGGGAGGACAGCTTTGTTTAATGATGCAGAGAAATGCTAAGTTGCTGAGTGCTTAGCCAAATTCCAAAAGGAGTCACCCCCAAGCTGAGTCCCCTGGTGCTGCCACAGTAGTTGGGGAAAGCTAGTTTCCAGGGAGGGGATGCTGCCAACCAAATTGCCATGAGAATAGAGCATGGGAGGGTCATAGTGCCTGGCTCTCAAATGGAAAAGGTACTCAAAATGTGACTGGAGCTACTGTTTGTCCAATCAAAAGTCACCAGGAGTCCAGCCTTTCCTGAGCTGTGGCCAGGGCAGTAAAAGCCTGGAAGCAGATGGCCTTAGGAACAGGACTGCACTGCTGGTTCTTAGAACTCCATGAGATAGTATTACCCTTCCCAATAGACTGAGCCAGGGACATCACTTGGGTCCTAGTTCCAACCTTTCGCCTCACAAGTACATAGGCGCTGACCCAGGGAATCTGGAATGTTCCTGAGACAGAAGGGTGATGGGAACCAAGGCCTACAGCTAGAAGGCACCTGAGAGGCCATCTCGTCCAATCAGCTCATTTTGCCCTTAAGGGAATGAAGGGAAAGGACTTGTTCATGGTCACATAGGTAGTAAGGTAGCAGAAAGCTGTGATTTGAACCCAGTACCAGTAACTCTGAGTTGGGTACTCTTTCTATTGCGTCACGTTGGCTCTGTTGGGGCCTAAAGAGATCATCTGGTCCTACACTCTGCCTCCCACTTTTTGAGCACCTGGCCCTTAAGGATACTTTCCTTGGATCCAACTGAACGAACTTATCTTGACTTATATTTCAGTCCATTCCCTCACGTGCTGGGAGACAAAATGACATATATAGGGTTACATACTTGGAGAGTTCTGCCATTTCCTCCTCGTAAATCCTGCGGCGCTCACTGAGGTCATCAGGCAGGTACTTGGCTATCATTGCCTCCATCAGTAAATTTTTGCTACATTTCCTCACAGATACACACTACACCAAGAAGGAAAGAAATCAGTTGTTTTGGGGGCCTGCCCAGTCATTGTGAAGGTAATGAGCCCTGTGTTAAGGCTCTTTTGACACACAAGTCAGGCTTCCTATCGCTTTTAATTTCTAGGAAAGTTTATCAAGTATATTAATCAGGGAAGGAGGAGGGGAAAGGGGACAGAGCATTTCTATAGCCCCTATGGACTACAGAAATAGTGTTTTTTATAAATATCTCATTCTCTTTTTATCCCCACCTGACAGCTGAGAAAACTGAGGCTTGAGAGCCCAGGGTCATGCAGGGGATAGGGAATTCTGTTGGGCTCTAATTATTCATCTCAAGCAAGGCCTCAAATAGGGAGATCTAGATTTGTTAAAGGCCTAGAGACAAGATTGGAGTTAGCTCTATGATGACCTGTATGAGAAGTCATGGGTCTATTTCAGACTGGTCCTAGCCATAAAGCTTTGACTCTCATGAAAAGGGTACAAATGTCTGATCTCTCTCTCTCTTTCTCTCCACCATGCCAGGTATAACATTTTCTTGAATTAAATATGCTGTCTTACCTCTGCAAGGCCTTCTTTGCACAGGGGACACTTGGGGTTGTGATCCAAGCTTCTTTCAAGACATTTCATGCAGAAGGTGTGTCCACAGGGGGTGGTGACAGGCTCATAGAACAGCCTGAAATCAAGTCATAAAAACCAAAATTGAGAATTTAACTCGATTTTAAGCTTTTGGGGGTACCCTTGGCAAAGCAAGGGGGTTAGAACCCTAGGGAGGTCAAATGAAAGCATTTGTTAGGGTTTCCAGCATATCTGCGATCAGGTGATCAGGGCCCTCCCAATCTACCCAGCAGAAGATGAGCCAATCAGCATTGGAACTGGCTCAGGATCAGCCCTGCCCTCAGTAACACCAGAAACAGGCGTCTTGCCATCCCATGTCTAACCCCAACATTCAACACTATACCCAATGCCTCAACATCTACCCTTCTGTCACTTAGAGAATGATGATCATCGATCAGTAACCATCGTTACTAGAAATGGTGACCACGGTGACTGCCCTCCGACTAGCTAATCACCATTCTCTTCCACTCAGAATCCCTATGATTCCAAGTTCTAGACTGTCTTGACCAGGGGTGGGGAACCTGCGGTCTCTCGGCCACATGTTCTACTGTTAAGGAAGTGCCCTTTATATTAAGTAGTTTCTCATGTTCCTTCCATTTCTTTGCCATCATGCAAACCTGGCTCTCCCCTGAAGAGAGGCCTTCAAGAAGGGATCACTGGATTTAGTGCTGGTGGTGGAGTACTGATGAGAGGCAGAGGGCAACAGCTGACTGTCAAAACTGGAGCAAGGCCATAGAAACAAAGGCCAGGGTTGAACAACTCAACTCAGTGACCTGAAGAGGCAACCAGCTGCAGGGCACCCTCCAGTGGCTAGTAGCTGTATCTGCAGCCCTAACTGCTCAGCTGCCCCAGCACATACAGAGGACTTAGCCAATAGGACCAGTAGGTAACACACTGTGGAAGACCAATTCTTTCTGGACTGGAATGCCCTCATGGTACTCTAATCACTGACTTATAAGGAAATATCCTTTTTGTCACACTATGCTGTTCGTTTTGTAGCTGAACTGCTTGGGCATGTTCAGAATGAAGAATTTTGCCCAGCTTATAATGCCCAGGCCTAGTCCAGCCCACCGGAGGATGGGGGCTTTTGGTGGGGGTGAGGAGGGCTACTCCTTCCACTCTCTTCCCAGTCAGACCACATGTGCTGAAAACACTAAGGCTGATTCTACTAGACAAGATAGGACTCAGGATGGGAAGGAAAAGAAGAGATGATAGCTAGAACCAGGTGGTGTGTTAGTCTATGCTTGGCAGTATCCCTTGGAAGCTAGCTGTTGCTCTGTTTTGTTTTTGTTTTTGTTTTTTTTCATATCAGGCCTGTGATTTTCATCAGTGCAGGAACTCCCAGTGGAAAAAAAAAATGCTTCCACCATGCAAAGTGGCTCCAACTTTGAAACTTCTATTCCTAGAGAGTAGCCTGGAAAACTGAAAAGTTATGTGACTTGGCCAGGATCACACAGCCTGTATGAGTCTGCAGTCACTCACAACCAAACCTTGGCTTCCCTAGTCTTGGCTTCCCTAGTCTTCCCTAGCCTTGGGATGTGGCTGAGCATCTGGGCTGCTGATGCAGCAGACATCAGGAAAGCGGCCCATCAAGGGGTATGGGATTGATGACACTGCATACCCACCTCATGCAGAGAGGACAATCCAGGTCAGTTGGGTCGAAAGATTCAAAGGGAACATTGTGAGCATGATTCCCACCCTGGGAGTCATCTGAATCTGAAATGTAAAATGTCCAATCAAATTTGGAGTGAGCTACTATCCCTGGCCCAAGAGGTTCTGGTTTGTTTTTAAACATCAGAGAGCTGATTTCTTGCCCTGCATTTCCACCCTCAGCCTTTGGGAAGGACCTCTCTTGGAGTGGAAGATGCTACCCCCCCAGGTAAGGTAGAATCGCCATGTTTCTTATGGACTAGCGGGGAATGTGACTGGGAAGAGATGATATCAGCATTTATATATCTTATGCCATGTTTGGGGCATGATGAGGGAAGCCTAGTTCAGAAAAAAAAGGGGCCTGGACTCTTGCTAACTAAAGTACGGTGTGGCCTTCAGGAAATGTTTTCACCTTTCTAGGCCACCTTCTCCGTAAAAAGAAGGGGTGGCTTAGATGGCTTCTCTCAGACCTATAGCTAGGATTCTATGGATGATCTTACACAAGTCACTTCCCCTGCCTGGGCCTCAGTTATAAAATGGAGATCAGCCCATCTTTCATTCTCTTTTCAGACTTAATGACTCTGGGGCCCCCATGGAATCTCTTTAGGTAGGGCTATTACCTGTCCTGGGAATCTTGCATGGTACTTCAGAGTCTAAGGACTGTGAGGGGCTGCGTTTCCGTCTTGGCAGTTGACGTTTCTGGGGCTCTTTGTTCTCCTCCTCCTTGGCCTGGGCCGCTTCAACCTGTCTCTTCTTGGCCTGGGCCCCTTGAGTCTGTCTCTTCTGGGCCTGGGTGTCCAGAGCCTGTCTCTTCTTGGCTTGGACCACTCGACTTGCTTTCTTCTTGGCTTGGACCACCCGCCCTATTCTCTTCTTGGTCTGGGTCACTGGGGTCTGTCTCTTTTTCTTGGGCTGGGTGACTGGAATCTGTTTCTTTTTCTTGGGCTGGGTCACTGCAGACTGTTTCTTTTTATCCTTTGGCTGGATTGCTGGAGCCTTTCTCTTCTTGGGCTGGGTCACTCGTACCTGTTTCTTCTCCTCTTTAGGCTGGCCTACCCGAGCCTGTCTCTTTCTGGGCTGGGATGAGGAACCTTGTCTCTTTCCAGGCTGGGATGAAGAAGCCTGTCTCTTTCTGGGCTGGGATGAAGAAGCCTGTCTCTTCCCAGGCTGGGATGAGGAACTGTATCTCTTTCCAGGCTGGGACCCTGAAGCCTGTCTCTTTCTGGGCTGGGATGAAGAAGCCTGTCTCTTTCTGGTCTGCGACACCGAAGCCTGTCTCTTTCTGGTCTGTGACACCGAAGCCTGTCTCCTCTCTTCCTGGAACAAGGAAACCTCTTCTTCATCAGGCTGGAACATAAAAGCCTGGTACTCTTCAGGCTGTCCCCCATTGGGGTGAAATACTGAATCCGGTCCCACATTGGGCTGGAACAGAAAAGCGTGTCCCTCTTCGGGCTGGAACACTGAATCAGGTCCCTCATCAAGCTGGAACATAAAAGCATGTCCCTCTTCGGGCTGGAACATGGGAGCCTGTCCTTCTTCAGGGTGGAACATAAAAGCCTGTCCGGCTCCGGGCTGGCACATGGAAGCTTGTGTCTCTTCGGGCTGGAACATAGGAACCTGTCCCTCTACGGGCTGGAACACAGGAGCCTGTCCCTCTTCAGGATGGAACATAAAAGCCTGTCCCTCTTCAGGCTGGTACATGGAAGCCTGTGTCTCTTCGGATTGGGACACAGAAGCCTGTGTGTCTTCGGGCTGGAACACAAAAGCATGTCCCACTTCGGACTGGGACATGGAAGCCTGTGTCTCTTCGGGCTGGAACACAAAAGCATGTCCGTCTTCAGACTGGGACATGGAAGTCTGTGTCTCTTCGGGCTGGAACACAAAAGCATGTCCGTCTTCGGACTGGGACATGGAAGTCTGTGTCTCTTCGGGCTGGAACACAAAAGCATGTCTGTCTTCGGGATGGGACATGCAAGCCTGTCTCTTTTGCTCCAAAGCCTGGGCCATCAGAGCCAGTGTCTCCTCCTCATCAGGCTGGGCCATGAGAGCCAGTGTTTCCTCTTCTGATTCGGGCTGGGCCACCAGAACTGGTATCTCCTCCTCGTCCTCCTCCTCCTGTTTAATCTGAAAGTCTGGAATGTCGATTGGTTCCTCTTTGATCTGGAAGTCTGGAAGGTCTATTGGCTCTTCTTTAGGCTGAAACTCAGGAAAGTCTAAATCTTCTTCTTCCTCCTTGGGCCGGAACTCAGGAAAGTCTAAATCCTCATCTTCCTCCTTAAGCTGGAACTCAGGAAAATCTAAATCTTCTGCTTCTTCCTTGAGCTGGAACTCGGGGAAGTTTATCTCCTCCTCCTCCTCCTTGAGCTGGAACTCGGGAAAGTCGATCTCCTCCACCTCTTCCTTGAGCTGGAACTCGGGAAAGTCTAGCTCTTCCTCCTCTTTGAGGTGAAATGTGGGAAAGTCTATATCCTCCTCCTGTTCCTGCTTGAAGTGGAAATCAGGAATGTCTATCGGCTCCTCTTTCAGCTGGAAATCGGGAATGTCTATCGGCTCCTCTTTAATCTGGAAATCGGGAATGTCAATCTCTTCGTCCTTGGGCTGGAATACAGGAATCTCTATCTCCTCTTCCTTGGGCTGGACCACTACAGCCTGGATCTCTCCTTCCTCCTCCTTGGGCTGGAACACTGGAACCTGTATGTCCTCCTCCTTGACCTGGACCATCATAGCCTGCATCTCCTCTTCAGGCTGGACCACAACAGCCTGAATCTCTTCTTCCTCTCCCTGGACCACCACCGCTCGGATCTCCTCCTCCTCTCCCTGGACCACCACCGCTCGAATCTCCTCCTCCTCTCCCTGGACCACCACAGCCTGTATCTCCTCCTCATCCTCGTCCTCGTCCTCCTCGTCCTCCTCCTCCTCATCCTCGTCCTCCTCCTCCTCCTCCTCCTCGTCCTCGTCCTCCTCCTCTTCCTCCTCTTCCTCCTCCTCCTCCTCTTCCTCCTCAGGCTGGATGACCAGGGTCTGTCTCTCCTCAGGCTGGGTCACCAGAACCTGTATCTCCTCCTCCTGGAGATGGACAATTGTAGCCTGTCTTGTCTCCCTGGATAGGGCTTCCAGAACCTGTCTCTCTTCCTCTTCCTCCTCCTCCTCCTCCTGGGCCTGGAACACTGCATCCTGTCTCTTCTCCTTGAGCCTGACTACTAGATTCTGTTTCTCTAGCTCCTCGTACTCCTCTTCTTTCCTCTCTTCCATATAATCCAGGCCAACGCAGCCAGAAGGGTCTGGCTCCTCCTGAGCAGGAGGGTATTTGTCAATCTCCTGTGAGACAGGGAGGTCAGGCAAAATGAGTGGCTATTTGCAATTCTGGTCCTCCTCTGATTCCCATCAATAGTTGGGGTCGGGACAAAGGAGAAGGGAGGAGGAAAGAGTAGAGCAATCCCACTCCAAGTCACTCAGACTTTGAGCCTCAATTGTTTTAGTTGTAAAATGGGGATAATCCCTCTAGCACCTACTTCAAGGGATTCAAACAAGATAAATGTATATCTGTAAAGTGCTATGTAAATGTCAGTTAATGTAACAAGGCAAGCCTTTTGGAAGGGCCACAATACAAACTTATGCTACTATTGCATGAAATAGCCTGTCGCGCTGAATTGGGAAAAGTTTAATTAGTTTTAGAAGTCCCCCCCCCCCCAAAAAAAAAAGAGTCCAAAATGATTTAAGGGAAAATTTTATTTCTCTTTTTTGTAAAAAGTTTGGTCTGAATGCTTGAAAACTGATATAGCAAGAATGCTTTTAACCCAATCGGCTCGAGGACCTACACTGTGGGCCAGGAATTCACTGGGCAGCCTGTGAATGGCATTCCTAATAAGCAGGTTACTGGGGCAATAGGTCAGCTGGTTAGATAACCAGTTTCCCAGAAGTTTGGCTAGCTACACAGGGATTACTCAAAGCAGAAAGAACTTTTCTTTACCCAGGGAATCAATCCAGTGCCAACTTGGGGAGATTGACCTGGGGGAAATCCCTCCCTAATCTTAATCTACAGTCCCGAGGTCAAAGTTGGCCAGACTCCTCTTCTCAGGGTACAGATTGGTAGTAGGTGAGATATAGGGGAAATGGGAGAAAGATTTGAGGTGAGGCAGAGAAGGAGCTGTTATCTCCCCTCCCATAGTCTGTGGCATTCAACTTTTTGAACATAACGACATGAGGATTTAACTTCCTAGAACGAAAACCCCATTCTTCCCAAGATTTTCAAGTATTTGGCATGCTGGTAGATCGTGCCTTATGATGGAACTTTCTTCCAGGCCTTCCCGCTGGTTCACAATGCCAGGTTCTCCAAAGCTATCTAAATAGGCTGCCAGGAACTCCTGCCCCATCCTGATGCCAAGTCCTGAGTCTATGAGGTGCCACCATCCTCCACCTCTCCCTCTCTCCAAGGAAGCATCACTATCAAAGGTCATGTTGCTGAGGTCCAGCTAGTGTGTGCCCAGGCACAACCACCCATCTATCCCCTTACATGGACATCCTCTTTCTGTCCTCTCTTTCTTTCCTTTCACTTAGAGACAACTACAAACCAGGCACAGTTTGGGACATCTTGTTTCTTAGCCTGATACATGGGAGAGGGCTTCAGAAGGAGGATGGGTAGGCCAAGCCATCAGAGCCCACATTCCCGGCTCCCTCCTGCCTTGGGTGTGAGAAAAGCTGTTGTAAGTTTTACAGACTCTCTAATGAACCTTTCCCCAGATCTTTGACACCAAGAGCTCCATGGAAGACTTGTCCTCGGCAGTGAAAAGCAGAAGGGGAGAAAGACGTTGTCCCTCCCTCCCCTTGATCCGGCCCCCTCCCCCCCCATCCCTCCCTTCCCCTGATAAGGCCAAGTCCATTAAAGAGCAGAGCCCTAAAGCAGCAGCCAGCAGCACCTGTCTGCCTTACCTGGACCAATCCTGGCAGTTGAGGTTCATCTCTGCTGGCAGCTCCACAGGACTGGGAAGCCACGGCAGTGCTTTTTGGTCTAGAGCTGCTGGACTGCAGTTGGAGGCTGCTTGCTAAGCGCTCCTGGGTATTCCCAGGGATGGGTGAGAATAAACTTAACAGGAGCTGAGACAGAAAGCAGAACATTTCACTCCTTAGTCAGCTCCTTCAAGGCTCTGAAGATAAGAGGAGCAGGAGAGCAGCTCTCTTATGGAAGAAGAGCAAGGGACAAAGTGATTTTTCTAGTCGAGGACTGCCCCAACGTGGTGGACAATGAGGAACTAACTCCGGTCTGGTGTTGGGGAGCTAGTTGTCTACCCAGCTCCCAACAGTCACTATTCCAGAGCAGGCCTGAAGGCAGATATGCTTCTGACCCATTTATCTGGCAAGGAAGCAGAGAGTGAAGAAGCAGACAGAGGAAACCAGGCAAAGTCCTAGCAGAGAATATGGACCATTCCCATAGGGTGTCTTCAAGTCATAGGGAGGGGGTCCTTTGTTCACTTTTCCTGCAGAAACCCAAACCTTAACTTCCTTTAATCTGGCTGATCTCTCTCCCTACTCTAGTCAGCCCTCATCTCCTCCACTCTGCCAAAGACCCTGACCCTCCTTGTCTCTCTTTAGAATGGTGTCATGTCTGAGTTTCAGCTTCTCTAGCCATTCTCTGAGCAGCTGGGGTCAGGGTCCATGTTCTCTCCCTGCTTTTTCAATTATGTTCAATTTCAACCCTCCTCAGTCCTGGAGGCCTGAAAGGTACCTGGATTCTCAAGGCCCAGAGTTGGCAGAAACAAGCTACAGGCAGAAATCTACTCAATGGTTGGCCAGTAGCCAGAGCCCAACAGTGAAGAGAATGACAGAAGCCTGGGGACTCCCTGAACGGTCCAGCCGGGCCACACAATTCCAAGGTGAGACCTGGGAAAAAAGGCCATGACCTTCCAATGCAACCATATTAGAAAGCACAAATAACTTCCTTTCTAAAGTGAAAAAAGCAAAGGGGAGTGGAGGTAAAGGGAGGAAAAAGAGTGAACAATGGTACCATCAACCCTTCTTCAATATAAACCAGAAAACTACTCAATGGCTGGAGAAATCCAAGGTCTAATCCAAGGTCTGGTTCATCTCCCAGTAGGAAAGACCACTTCACAATGCTAAATCAAAGTCGATTCCACTCCAGTCTCAGTCTTCCAAAGAAGAGACTGAAATGGGTCAATAAAGGAGGCAAAAAAACCCAAAAAACCCATAACCATGGTGTTCACTCTCCTAAGTACTCTCCATAAGAGATCTTAAAAGTCATCTAATCCAACCCCCTTGTTGTACAGAAAAGGAAAACTAAGGCTTAGAGAGGGGAAGTCAAGGAAAGAGCTCAGTTTCAAACACAGGTATTCAGACTCCAAATCCAGCATTCTTTCCATTATCCATTCTGTGGAAGGAAATTGCAGCCCGCCACAGAAACATCTGCGTTCTAACTCCTTTTCCTTCATTTACTTGAGTCTTTGTACATACATTTTCCAAATCTGACAACCATATTGTCAGCTCCACCCAGCCCTCTTTCCACTGAGTGCCCACCTAGAGGCCCTTGGAAGGGACAGGACCCTGAAACTCACGGTGGTTATGTAAGCAGTTGGGAGAGAAAAAGGAGGGGGAAAATCCCAAGCATGGAGGGAGGAGCCCAGAAAGAAGGGGTGAAAAGCTAAAAAACAAATTCCCTTATCAGAAGGGAAGACCAGCCTTGGGAGGAAGGGGTATGCTAGAACCAATGTATGAGCTTACCACTGACTGTGGTCTGGCACACAGTAAATGCTTGGTAATCCAGCAAGGACCCCTCCTCTTTGGGTCAGCCTCTTATCTATCTACTGACTGACCCCAACCCTTCCTAGGCTCTCTCCTTCCTTCCCTCCCTCCCTCCTTCCTTCCCCATGTGCTAGTCTGTGGGATAAGGCAATATCGTCTTCTCCTCATTAGAAGCAGCAGTCTAGAACAACAGGTAGGCAGACTCGATAATTGCTTTCTCTCCTTGGGAAGCCAGGAGGCCTTCGAGCAGGCCTCAATAGCCACTGATTTTTTAAAAAACTTTAAGGCTGAAAAGCCCCCAGTTCACCCTTCCCCCAGAGGGCTCCTATAAATGTGCACCAAATCATGGCATCTGATTTCCTGGAAACCCTGAACAGAAGGGCTTCACTCAGGAGGTAAGGGGCAATAATGTATAGGAGGTGGTGCTCCCTTCCCTGAGGCCCCAGCACAGAAGCCTTGGAAAGGATGGCGAGTCAGTTCAGCCCAAAGGGATCTGTCTGTCTCATCTATCCTCTCTTTGTTTTTCCTCTCATTCTCTCTTTCCTCTCTCTCTGTCTCACCTCTCATTCTCTTTCCTCTTTCTGTCTCTCTCAGACAAAGAAAAGAGGGCAGCAGGCCAGCCCCTCACTTGCCACAGGAAGCCAGCCCACCAGCGTTATCTAAGAGCTGGCTTAGACTCACCTTGGCAGCTTCACATCTGGCCAGCCTATTCTCCTCATCCAAAGCCACACAGAACAGGAACTCCCTGACGGCTTCTTCTGTATTTCCCAGGATGGCTAAGGCTTGGCCTTTGCGTAAGTGACCCTACAAAGAGACAGGTCCCCTTGTTCAAGCTCTACTTGAGCAAAAATCTGCCTCAAGCAAGAGTTCAGATTAGAGAACCTTGGATCTTATTACACATACCAAAGCAGGTGTGGTCTCAATTGTTAAAGGACAGTTATAAGATGGCCCCTGCAGGTTCTGCCATTTAGTCTAACTTCCTCATTTTACAGATGGGGAAACTAAGGCCAAAAGAAGGAAAAGGAACTGGCTAAGTTTCAACAGGCAGTGACTTGTCATATGATTCTCTGGACCATGCTCTCTGTCATTAAGTGTTACTTGTCCCAGATAACATATTGTGAATTTTATTTTTATTTTTTTGCTAGGCAATAGGATTAAATGATTTGCCCAGGGTCACACAGCTAGTAAGTGTTATGTGTCTGAGGTCACATTTGAACTCAGGTCCTCCTGAATCCAGGGCTGGTGCTCTATCCACTGTGCTACCTAGTTGCCCCCATATTGTGAATTTTAACAGAGGCCTTCTAAAGTCAATGCAGTTTGGGGCATGATGGCAGTGGGAAAGAGATTTAGGGCCAGATAGGCCTTTTGATGCCTTGCAAATCAGGCCAAGTGCCACTGCACTTGTTACATAGAGAACTACCTCAGTCTTTTTCTTTGCCTTTTTTTTTTTTTTGGAAGGCAATCAGGGTTAAGTGACTTGCCCAGGATCACACTGTTAGTAAGTGTCTGAGGCCACATTTGAACTCACATCCTCCCGAGTCCAGGGCCAGTGCTCTATCCACTAGGGCGCCACCTAGCGACCCCCATCTTAGTCTTTTTCTTGACAGGTTACAAGGAGACTTGGATTAAGGGGGGAGGAAACTCCTTCAGCTAATGAAAGCCAGCATCTTTTCTGCTGCTAGTCTTCAGTTTCATAGGCAACTGAGAGCTGAAGTTGGGGGGGGGGGGGGGTAACACACAGCCAGTATGTGTCCTAGGCACAATTTAGATACTGCATTTATATCAGAGCACTGAAAGTTTCTGAGAAACAGGGCTCCAGGCTCCAAATAAATGAAGTGGGGCTGCAAGTATATTTCAGAACCTTCTAGCAGATAAGCTGTGTTGAATTTAACATAGAAATTTACATTTAAAATGTTCAAGTTAAGGAGGGGCAAAAGCTGGTCAGTTTGAATTCTGGAAAATTTTCCATCTCCAAAGAGCTGGTCCAAAATCAGGGAAAAGGCACCAGAAGCCCCCTTTTTGCCCTTCCCAAAAGGCCTCTCAACTTGCTCTGCCATGGTGCCTGGAAGTTCACCATTATTGACTGTTTAGGTTCAATTAAGTCCTTATTTTAAAATGTGAAAAGGAGGGGAGGCCTTTGAGGGGATCATGCTTCACTGGCATTTTATCAGAGAAGAAGGATGTTTGCAGGACAGGAAGGGCAAGATTAGTGCTTGGGGACCTGCCTGCAGGGGCCATCTTTGAGGTGCTGGAGGACAAGAGACAACTGGCAGATATAGGCTCCTTGAAAACAGGGACTATTTATCCCTTTCTTTGACTCCCCTGTGCTCTATCTCCCCTTTTGGGCTACCCTTCAAACATTTTCTTAGCACCCCCCCCCCAACACACACATACTCGTGGAAGCTCATAGGAGACAACGGGGGCAGGGGGAGGGGAAGAAGGGACCTTCTCTACTTGTTTCTACCAGAAACAAACCCATCACTCAGTGAGAACACGCACCTTCAGCCAACGTGGCTGGAGTCTGCAGGCCATGTCAGCATCATGCAATGCAGCTTCAGGACGTTTCAAGACAGTATTGATTTGAGATCGGTTGCTATAGAGCAAGTAGTCATTTGGAGCTGTTGATTGAAACACACAGCAGCATACAATCTCATCAATTACCATCATCAGCACAGACCCCCAGTTCTCTCTGGGTTGGAGCTGGATGGCTGAGTCCCACTCCCAGAACTAGGTGACAACCGGTCCAGACTTGATCTGGTTGCTCGGCAGGTGATTCCTGAAGCTGGTCACCACTTACCATTTATAATGTGCTGTCATTTTCTTGCTGGGGTTTTTTTTTTTGTTTATTTTTTAGGTTTTAGTCTTGGTAAACCCTATTTTCAGCCATCCCTTCATCCACTTTAACCCATCTGCATTTGAATTTTACCATCTGTAAAATAAGCTAAGAAATAAGGCTTGCTATTCTATTACATTTAACTGTCTAGACCCCCCAAAGTGTAGGTGGGTGGGAAGGGAGGAGCCAGGTCTGACAGTTTAATCCTTTTACAATCCAGTTAGCATCACACAGACAAAATGTTTCCTGGCTACAGACCTACTTCTTAACTGATTTAATAAATGTATGTTAACCTGGGGCTGGGCAAGTGTTACAATGAAATAATATTTGAGAATGAAGAGAGATAATATTTGTAAAGCACTTGGCAAATCTTAAAAGCACTATATAAATGTTAGCTGCTATTATTAAAACATTAAGATTATGTGAATGATTTAACATAGATCCATCCCCCACTACTGGACAAATAATGCCAAGGACTTGTCCAGTTAAAGAGAGCCAGGTGACCAGCAGCATCTCTGTATATATTAGGCAGCCCCTATTATGGAACGACAGTTTCTCTAGGGAGAGGTGAAATTCATTTGGGGCAAGGCACTCCACTAATCTCCCCTTCGAGGCATGAACAATAGAAGTGCTCAGGAGGAAAAAAACAGACACAGGAAGCAAGCATATGCAATCAGAGAATGGCTCTGACTTTTCTGGTGGTTGTCATTTTCAGTGGAGTCAGACTCTTTGTGACCCCATTTGGGGTTTTCTTGGCAAAGATACTAGAATGGTTTCCCATTTCCTTCTCCAGTTCATTTTACAAGATGAGGAAATTGAGGCAAATAGGATGAAATGTGCCCAGGGTCACACAGCTATTAAGTGTCTGAAACTGGATTTGAACTCAGGTCTTCCTGTTTCCAGGTCCAGCACTGTATCTGTCTACTGCACCACCTAGCTATTCAATGGCACTGACTAGGAATTAGCAAAAGCACACGAAGTCAGAGCTGCAAGGGCCTTTAGAGATTATAAAATTCCAGAGGTGGAAGCTCTTGAATCTAAATCAGGGGCCACCTACACTCACAAGAGGGCATTTGGCTTTTGCCTGAAGACCCCTAGTGACTGGGAACCCAATACCTTTTATGGCTGTCCATTCCAAAGTGACCTCCCTAAAATATAAGTCTGACCTTCAATAAATCCCAATGGCTCACCATCACCTCTCGGATCAAATATAAAATATCAATATAAAATATCAAATCCTGTTTGGCATTCAAAGCTCTTCATAACCTGCCCCTCACCAGTCTTCTAGAACATTCCAACCTCTTCCCCCCCCCCCCCCACCCTGCAAACCAGTGACACTGGAGGCTTTGCTGTTCCTCACTCAGGATTCTCCACCTCTGCCTCCTCCTGGCTTCCTTCAAGCCTCAGCTAAAATCCTATCTTCTGCAGGAAATATTTCCTGATCCCCCTTAACTCTAGTGCCTTCCCTCTGCTACTGAGCTCCAATTTATCCAATATAAAGCCTGTTGGTACACAGTTGTTAGTATGTTGCATCCCCTAATTAGATTCTGAGCCCCTCCAGAACAGGGACTAGCTTTTGTATCTTTGCATTCTTTGTATCCAGGCACTTAGCACAGTGCCAGGCACATAGGTGCTTAATAAATATTTGTTGAATGACTGATATTGAATCTAAATCTGCCTCTGTGCAATTTCTGCTCATTATTAATCAATAATAGCTAACATTTATATAGTGCTTTACATATATCATGTCATAGCTCTTGGTTCACATCTAGCCCAACTTATAGCAGATGAGGAAAATGAAGCCCTGAGAAAGGAAGGGTCTTGCCCATAGCCATATAGCTGGGAGGCTAGGATTAGAAAAGCTACTCCCAAACTGGGTAGATGAAAATGGGGTGGGTGGCACAATGAGATTTCTCTTCCTAGGGCCCTTTTCTCATAGGGTCTGATAATCCTTCTCTGATTTCACTGGATGATGGGGGGGGGGCGATTTCTGATTGTGGTAGCAAAGAGGGTGGGGGTTTATAAGATCATAGAGCTAGAGCTACAAGGGACCTCAAGGGTCAGGTGGGACTTTGGTGCCATCTTGTTTTACCAATGTCAGGTTTTTGTTTTTTTTTTAAAGCCTACCCCAAGGATTTAAAACGCCCTTTCCATGCCTTTTGAGAGCTCTGCATAATTTGCTACTAAGCATCAGCTAAGGGTGGATGAAGATCTTTGATATTTTTTGCTGGGGTGAGTCACAGAATGTGGACAATGGGTCCAAAGGGAGCTTCTCTGCACCTTAATCTGCCATCCTTCTTGGGTCCGAGAGGCAAGAATGACACAGAAAGCCATATACCAGTCCCTTTGCAAGGGGGTTGTTGTGGGGAGGGGGGAAGGGGGAAAGGGCTCCAATTTTGTCTCTCCTCCAGTAATGCTCGTCACTGCTCCTTTCCCTCCCATCCACATTTTTCCTTTCCCTCCCATCCACATTTTTCTTAGGTATTACATTTTTGCTTTGTAAATTAGATGCCATCCCCCTGCTTATACCTGTTGCAGACCCATGATGGCAGTCAACAAGTAGTTCCAATCTTGCCTGTTTCCATGTATTTGCGTCAATCCCATATTCCCTCGAGTTGCCCGTATTCCAGATAACACGGCTATTGAGAGGGAGTGTTTTTGCCCACTGTCAGCCATTGGAGCTGCTTTCAAGCTCAATTCTAATCACCCCCAAATTGCCCCCCCCTACTCAAGCCCTTAAGCCACCATCACCCCTATGACGACGTAGCAGTACTGGAGAGACACATGGGGAGGGGGGAACGAGAGAGTGAGGAAAGGGAGGGAGAAAGAGGGTAGCAGCAGTCAGAAGGCATAGCACCCCCTGAAATGGCCAAGGGGGTCCCAAAAGCTCGCCTCAGGAGCCCATCCCGACCCCCTCCAAGCAGACACACAACTCTAAAGCTACTACCATAAACTGGCCGACCTGGGCTTGCCTAAACAGGGAGGCCAGCAGGCCTAGACGATCGACGGCAAAGGAGAATCGATCGGGCCCTGCCAGCGGGGGCGGGGGACTCATGGAGGCTCTTTCAGCCTGGGGAATCGTGTGATGGTAAACAGCAACCCTGACTCACAGACCAGTTGGATGATCGGCGCCCGCTCCCACCTCTCTTCCCTACCTCCCAGGGATGGTTTCCGAAACCCTGGTCCACTTCAGCTACCTCACCCGTTACACAACCCGGCCCCACCTGGAGGAGGGGCCGGGAGCCGGGCCTGGCCCGAGTGGCCGAGCTCAGAAAGGGCTTATGCAACACGATGCTCTCCTGGCCTAATTCCACTCGCGACTTGCGCGCAAAAGAGCATCCATGCCCCCCGAAAGTTATCAATTCACACAGAGCCCCACGCCCCCTCAGGACCGAACGATCGAGAGGATGAGGCAGAAAAATCTCAGGCCCCGACCCTGAGATAGCCAGAGTGACGCACGTGAGCACACACCCACCCGCCGCCCAGCCAGCGCCACACACTGCCCTGAATGGGCACCTGCGGCCCTCAATCGCCGCCCTCCCCGCGGGACCCTCAGGGGGTCGGGTGTTTGGGATGGGAGCAGGAAGTCAGACCCTCCTCAGGGAAAAGTTGGTACCCAAAGCGAGCGAGCAGGGCAGGGGGAGAGGGAGGGAAAGACGCGCTGGGGGGGGGGACAGGTTTCTCCCCCAACCCCTCGGACAGGGACGCCCCGCCCTCACCAGGGCCCCGCTTCTTACCTAGATCGAGCGCCTCGCAGTACTTCTCCAGAGCCTGCTCCGGCTTGTGCTCCTGGTACAGACGGTTGCCTTCGTGGCGGAGCCGCGACGCCTGGGTTGGGCCCGGGAACCACTTGGTCAGCAAGTTGCTGAGCAGCACATTGACCCGCAGGCGCGGCATGGGCGGCGGCGGCACCGGCACGGGCAGAGGAGGCGGCGGCGGCAGTGACTCGCCCGAGGTGCCCGCGCTGCAGCTGGCGACCTCAGGCCCAGGGACACAGCACAGGGTGCAGCGGCGCTCTTGCTCCAGGCACACTTTGCAGAAGGTGTGTCCGCAGGCTAGGGACACTGGATCGGACAGGAAACCTTGGCATTTCCGGCATCGGAACCCATCCCAGGGCGTTGTGGGCGACTTGGCGACTGCCGCCGCCACATCCACCGAGGTCGCCACCTCCTGGGGGTGCTGGCTCGCGTCGCTGTCCTGCGCCCCGGGGGCGAGGAGCCCCTCTCGGCGCCGGATGCTCTCGGCCAGGCAGCGCACCAAAGTGTCGAGGTGCTCGGAGCTCAGCTGCCGCTGCTGGTACAGAACCTGGTACAGCCCGAAGGCTTCGTGGAAGTTGCCGCTGGTAGCCAGGGCATCCGCCTGCTGGAGGGTCGCCTGGCTCTCAGGGGTAAGAGTCAGGGTCAGCTTCGGAGGGGATGCCTCCAGGAAGGCGGGACGCCCGTGCATGCCCGACGACGACGCCACCACGGGAGGCTCCGAATTCCTGCCAGCCGAGTGGCGGAGCATCGGCCCCTGACGGGAATTGGAGCTCATGGTGGATGAGCGTTGGAGGCGCCTAGAAGCCGTAGGGGCTGGAGGCGCCGCTGGAACAGTAATCGGGAGAGCTGGCCCGATAGGGCCAAGACCCGATCGGCCTCAGCAGCTGCTGCGGCGATCACTGGAGGTGCTGCAGCTGCGGCGGAACTGGAACGACAGGGATTGATGCTGCTGGAGCGGCGGCGTCTTCTGCGACTCTGGCTCCTGAGGATGACGAACAGTGTTTTTCAGCTCTCCACGGAGACCCTTACACCCATTCCGTGCGCCCCGCGGCTCCTAATAACTGTCTCGTCTCAGCTTCGTCTTATATAAACCCAAACCACGTGACAAACGAGCTGCCTGTCATTGGCCGGCGGCGAGAGAACTGTTACAAAACCTGACGAAGGGTTTTGTAACAGTTGTGAGCTCCCTCTTCTTTTGGCTCTGCTTTTTTTTTCGGTGTGAGTGTGAACGTGTGTGGGGTGTGTGTGTGTGTGTGTGGCGTGAGTGTGCCTGGCGTGGTGTATGTGTACGGCTTGTGTTAGATATACGCATTTTAGGATGATGTGTATGTATGTATCTATGCGCGCGCGCTCTCGCTGGTGGGTGCTATGCGCCTGTGCCTTTTGGATGTTGTTGTTTACCCGCCTTACCGGCAAATCTTTTACAAAAGCAAAACTCACGTCTTTGCTTTTGCACCAACAGCCACCCTAGCTCCCCAGCTGCCTGCACGTGCACGTAAACCTTTCTGCACATATAGCTCCTTTCCCCAACTCCAGTTCTTACAGGGTTAGACAACCATTGCCCGGAGAGAGCCTTGGTGGCTGCACAATTGGGGGGCGGGGGGCCGCGGAGCGGTTTGCAGATAGCGGTCCCCTGAGCATGTCTGATCTGCCCTCCGCACACATCCGCGAGCACACGCATTCTATTCTTTTGGGTGGTTTGCTGCGGGGGGGGGGGGGGGGTCCCCAGTCCCTCTCGAGTGGGGAAACGGACAGGGCTTGAAAGGGCCTTCTAGGAGCCTAGTAACCTTGTGGGCCGGGACTAGCAGACCTTCTGAGTGTGTATGTGGGGGGTGGGGCATAGGGAATTGGGGAGTGGACAGTCCAGAGCTTAGAATTTCTTCTAGATCCACTCAGGAAAATAGGATCCTTCTAGGAGTCCTGGAGGGATTGGACATGACCTATCAGAGAAGAGGGCCAGAAAACACAGATAAACCAAGCTGAAGCCCCAAGGAACATTCTGGGTTCACCAACCAAATTCTCTAAACGGGTACCCTCAATAATCCCTGCCCTAACTATCCCCCTCCTGCCCCTGTGAGACTACTTTATCCTCAATCAAAGGACAGAGTCGGACTAAACGAATCGTGAGCTCCCCATGCCATCGGACTGCCTGGGACTCTGCATCAGACTCTTACGAGTGACCACTGAGCCATAGTAGGGGCTGCTTGGGCAGCAGCTGCCACCGTCCCCCACTTCTGCAAAGAGGGGTGGATTATTGTCTGGACTCAATTTTGAGAGAGGTCTGTGGTCAAGAAATCGAAAGGGAAGATATCCCTGACAAAAACTGCCATGTGTGGCTGGAGTGTGCAACCGGAAGCAATCTGAGAATTCCCACTCCACACACTCCTTTCCACCCTCCCGAGCTCCCCTCCCCGCCCCCACCTTCCCAATCTCCTGCTTTCACAGTCTTGTGATCTCCCAAACTTTGGGCCTGGTGTTCTCTCCCATTGCCTGCTGTTCTCCTCCCCCACTCTCACGTCCTTTGGAGCCCTATGCCAACTTGGGGGGAGGCAAGGAAAGCTGGAGACATGAATTGTACTTTCATGGGTCCCCAGAAAGTTATGGGTGCATATTAGCAACTGGTTAGGAGGGGTTTTCCTCCTGGGATCCAAGGTCTCCAAATGGACAATGACTCCAAATGACCCAGTGGTTTCTAGCCCTATGGGACATAACCCCACAAGGAGAGAAAGGGGCACACATATACCGAAGGGGGTAATACATATTTACATTACAATGAATAATTATACTAATTTCAAGGCAATTGATTCTGAGGTCTGAGAAGGAACCCAGTGGAGATTTCCAGTGGTCTGGGGGAAGGATGGTTTGGGAGGTGGGGTAGGTAATCCTGAAAAATATGTTTGAGGAGGCCAGTCCTGAGCTGACTGGGGTATTTTAAAATCTTATTTTTATTGATTAATCTTATTGATTTTATTATTTAACATTTTATTTTATTATTACATCACTTTCACTTCCAAATATATCCCTCCCCTACCAATACCTTTCAAAAGCAGTTCAACAAAAATCAAAGGGCAGCCATAATGCCTGCAAGAATACACTGCTACTGTTCCCTACTTCTGCAAAGAAGGGAGGATGGTCTGTAGTCAATTTTGTAGGAGGCTGGTGGCCAAGAAGGCAAAAGCAAAGATATTCCTGACCCAAAAAAAAAATTGGCACACGTAGAGGCCAGAAGCAGTGCAAGCAAAAGAAACATCGTCTGCTTAATACTATGTGTGTGCGAGGCTTTGTGCTCGGAGCAGATACAGAGAGAGACCAGGGCTGTGCTTTCGAGGAGTTTATAATCTGCCACATCGATTGGAATTCATTTCTGTATCCTCGAATCCTCAGTCTAGAGCTCAAAGGGAACTTAGAAATCACGTAGTCTTCATTTTACACTTGAAGAAATCACCGGCCTTGTGGCCTGTTCCTCTATTTCACCTGGCTAAGCACAGGGATGGTCACACCTCTGATCTTGCCACCCACACATTTAGAAGCCCTTCACTTTCATGGTCCTGAAATCTGATGGTGTACTGCAGGAAGGAGCCAAGAGGGAGATATTGAAGATCAGAGACAGAGACAGAGACAGGCATAAGAGAGATAGACAGAGAGATCAGTCTGATTACAATCCATTGTCAGTTAGACTTTTCTCATGTCTCTGTCCTCACCCTGACCTCCAAACCCTTTATCCACACATTGGCTACATTTGCCCCCTCTCCCTATACTGACGCCTTGGTGAACCAGCTCAATACTGCACAATCCTCAACTGTCCAGTTCCTGAGTCCTGTGAAAGATCGAGCCTTGCTACTACATCAACAATGGAATGTGACCACAATCTCCCTCCTCAGCAACTGCCCACAGGCTGCTATGTGCCAGGCACTGGGCTGAGGGCTGGGGATACAAAGAAAGGCAACGGTCTGATGGGAATGAAACCATCTGGCTACAAATAAGCTCTATACACAGTGAATTGGAGATAGAGAGGGAATATAGAAGGAAGACTGAAGGTACTACAATCAAGGGAGAATTGGGTAAGTCTTCCTATAGAAGGTGGAATTTTAGCTGGGACTTGAAGGAAGCCAGGGAAACCAGGAGGCGGAGATGAGGAGGGAGAATGTTCCCGACATGGGGGGCAGCCAGGGAAAAGGCCCAGAGTCTAGAGATGAAGTGTCTTGTTTGTGGAACAGCTAGGAGGCCAGTCTCACTGGATCAGAGAGTATGGGGAGATGTGGGGTGCAAGAAGACTGAAAAGGTAGGAGGGGACCCGATTGTAAAGGGCTTTGAATGCCACACAGAGGATTTTATATTTGATCCTAGAGGTGATAGGAAGCCATGAAACAATACTGACCCTGTCCACTGAAAACTTATTTTGTCTAACCTCAACTGGTCACTCACTGCAGCAAGACAATCCTTCTACTGTTCCCTAATTGATTCACTATTCCATTCACCACAATGTCTCTGTCTCTCTGTCTCTTCTCTCCTCAAGCGACCCATGTCACCTCTTTCCCCAACCTCAACTGAAGACCTTGTCCCATACTTGGCTGAAAAAAATTAAGGTTATTCCCTTAAAGTTTCTTCTCCCGTTCTCAGTCCATATGCCTCTGACATCATTCCCCACTATCTCTTCCTTCATTCTAGTCTCTGATGAAGAATTGGCCCTTCTCAGCCAAGATAAAACCCTCTGCAAATATCCCTGATCCTATTTCTTCTCATTTTACAATTAGACAATACAATTACAATTAGTGAAATTACAATTTTACAATCTCTCTCTCTCTCTCTCTCTCTGTCTCTCTGTCTCTCTGTCTCTCTGTCTCTCTGTCTCTGTCGGTCTCTGCCTCTCTTTCTGTCTGCCTGTGTCTCTCATCTTCAATATCTCCCTATTGGCTCCTTCCTGCAGTATACAAGCATACACCTTCTTATACTTAAAAATAAAATAAAATAAAATAAAACCCCAACTTGATCTAACCATCCCTACTAGTTCTCCCCCTTCTGAGTCAACCTCCTTGAAAAAGCTATTACCTACTTCCTCTCTCCAAATTTGCTTCTAAACCCTCTTCAGTCTGGCTTCCCATCTCATTATTCAACAGAAACTGCTCTTTGTGAAGTTACCAATAACCTCTTCCTTGTCAACTCTGATTGCCTTTTCTCAGTCCTCATTCTCTGACATTGCTGATCACCTCTTCCTGGATCCTCTCTCTCTTCATTCTTCTACCTGTCGGACTGACTAATTCTTCTCAGTCTCCTTTGCAGGATCTTCATCCAGATGACTCCCACTAACCACGGGTGTCCCCCAAGGCTCTGTCCTGAGCCCTGTCTTCTTCTCCCTCTATATTATCTCACTTGATAATCTATCACCTCCCATGGATGCAATCATCATCTCTATGCAGATGAACTCTTGTGTGTGTGTGTGTGTGTGTGTGTGCATATGTGTGTTGATTTACTTTAAAAAAATATATGTCTTTAGTGCAGCAGATAAGTAAGGATTCATCCCATCCTAGGCTGTTTTGTTTTGTTTGTTTGTTTCTAAACTGAATTCTAACCTATGGGAAGAGGGCTGGAGAGCAGAGGGAAATGTTCAGCAATAGTTTGTTCCCCTAGAATCGAACTCTAGATTATCAGTGCTAATGAAGGGGCAATACAGGCAGCCACTAATTTACAAATGATTGGTCTTATGTGGTAAGTGGCTGTTGGGAATTTAGGAAGTTGATTAATTCTCCA